AGTTAAGTCAGGCGAGCAATCCAAACGGCAGTTAAGTTGGCGTAAGAAGAAGGGCTTAATTGCTTTGATCCCAGAGTTCAAGGGCTTATATGCATCAATTAAAGTATAAGGGCTTAATAGCGATTCTGGGATTAGTTCAGGGGCTTAACTTATGGTTTTGCCTATAAATAACTAGGACTCGATCATTTGGTGCTCAAAACTCAAAAGTTTGATTTATTGATGGATAATGATACAAAGATAAATTGTTTTGTATAATTTTTTAATATAATTTTGATATGTTATTAAATAAATAAAAAAATTAATCATTTAAATTATATATAAAATTATAAAAAAAAAATTTTATATCATTTTTCTTTATTTATTTGTGAAACGCATAAGATTAGTTAGCTAGATCAAGGATTAGTTTGATGCAACTTTTCAAATACTTGAGTTTTTTTGATACTATTTCTATTTTATAAATTTAAATGTTTTTTTTAAAACTTTATATTTTTAAATATTTTTTTAATTTAAAAAAACTGTAAATAATAAAAAATCAAAAACTTCAATTTTAAATTTTTCATAAATTTTTTTATTTACTTTTTATTCAATTTTTTTATTTTTAAAAATAATTTTTAAATTTTTTTTAATAAAAATTTAAATTTATCACACATAAATACTAAAAATAAAATATAATAAAATAAAATCTCCAATAAAATGCATCAAACAAGATTCTTTTTTTTTTTTTAGAAAAATAATGATTAAAAATTAATATATTAGAGGGGTTAGTGTATAAAGGATATTAAACCGAACATGAGATGCAACTACGGGTTACCCAGCAAGTAGCCACTGGGCCATGCACGTTGAATGCGATTCCTCCCCCTTCTTTGTCCTTTCCCATTATGCATATCCAGCTCATCAGTGAAGACCAAGACAATGCACGACGGACCTAGCAACTAAGGATAAATAACAGGGGCTTTGATCATTTGGTCCTGTAGAGAAATCAAAAGAAATTCTGTATTAGTGAGAAGTGAGAAACAAAGAAATGGCGGATAAAGGAAGAAAAGATGGAGGGAAGATGAAGGGGGAAGAAGGAAGGAGAAGGAGAAGAGACAAATGGAGCGAGGTGGAGGAGCAAGCGGAGGATGTAAGGAAAGAACGAAAGAAGAAGGAGAAACAGATAGAGGAATTGAAAGAAGCAATCAAGAATTTGAGGGCACAAGAACACAAGTTGAGGGATAAAGTACAGCGGTTGAAGGACGAAGAGGATAGGAAATTAGGACGCATGGTAAGGAAATTGTTCCCGAATTGGATCACAAAACTGATGCAAGGGAGATAAGGTCATTGATTTCCTTGTGTCATTTCTGAAACAAAAACTGCTTTTCTTTGTGACATGTGGTAGTCTGTGTCATGGGTCAGTTCCTAATCAGCTCGGAAAAGCGCAAAGAAAATGAGAAGAAAATGCCCATGAAATCCTTGCTTTCTGTATGTTGGAACCGTTCCAGATAACCATGCCAACAAAGCTACTATGTTGCTGTCCGGTTAAGTCTATTTATTTGTTATTTGAATTTATTTTAATTTGTTTGCAGTTTAAATTAGTTTGCTACATTTTGTTTTAAAAGTTTTTAAATTTATAGTAATTTATTTAAATTTATTTGTAATCAATAATTATTGAGGTAGTTTTGTAACTACCATTATATGTGCATTTAAATATTTTACATAATAGTAACTGTGTTGCTTTTGCATTCAATCTCACCTTTCTTAGTTTAATTTCCATCACTGTCTTTTCATTAATAAAACTGCGTGTGCATGTATGCGTGCGCATGTATGCGTGCGCGCGTGTTCTTTCAATTTTCATGGTAGTATGTGTAATGGCTCAAACAGCCTTGTGAATTTGCATTCAGAAGTGAGAATAATATATATTTGTTAAAAAATTATTACAAAAATGAATAAAACAAAAATTGAGCCACACGTTTGCAGGAAACTCATGGAACACTGCATTGTTCATGCTTAATGATTTCCATTCCATGCAACAATAAAAAATATTGACTTCTATAATTGAACAAAATGGCTAGGAAAGAAAAAATAAACCACTCAATCGACAAAACTCTGCTTACAAGTGAAACCACCAAAGATCCACACTATAACTTGATGTAGGAAGAATCAGGATGGGGGAATTGCAGGACCCTATTCAAGTACAAATTCATAATTAACCGATTACTTTACGAAGTTCTTCAACTAATTGTGACCGGCTTGAGGGCTCCATCTGCAAAGTAGATTCAAATTTCAAGTAATCATCCAAAGGTTTCTAAAGATATGTACAAGAATTCTGTAAAATCAATGAAGGATTTTGGATGTTTTACCTTGCTTAGAAGGGCAGCAAGACCTTGAGGTAGAGCTTGCACGTCTGAAGCTGAGTTGCTTATGTTAGATACTTGAAGCAATACCTTTTGGACCCCCAACTCCTTCAGCTTCTCCTCGTAATTTCTTTTATCATCCTTCCATGCAAAGAAAGCTTCATCATCCACCCAAGCATCTTCTCGGCCCCTTGCAATTTTAGAATCTGAAAACCACTTCTTAATCATATCGATAGCAGATTTATGTGACAGTTGATCACCAGCAGCTTCTTGTACAGTCTTAACCATAGAACACTCAGCAATTCTCCGGCGTAATCTTTTGTAGAAGAAAAGGCGTGAACGGTTCCAGTCTACAACTTCTTTTATTACGCCTTTTGCAGCCATCCTCAGGGAAGTATCATGAAGTTCAGCAAATCTAGTGGCTATCTGGGTGTATACTGGCAAAAGCTGTTTCTGACGGGCTCTTATTTGCTGCTGCAGAGATTCTATCTTCCCATAGATCCCACCACTCCTGGCTTCCAGAAATTTTGCATTCAGATCAATGAGTTGTGGATCGAGCCTGACCATGCACTCCAGCAGCTCCCTTGCCCTAAATTTGATCTCTATCATTCCCTCTGGCTCAAGAACATTGCCCTTGGCAGTTCGATCAGCATACATCTCAATATGGTTTGAATTAATCCGGCTGTCAACAACAACCCATGCCCCTCCACGAAGCTCACCCATCATAGGAATGTACACAAAAACAGGCTGTTTGTATGTTCTAAGATTCTCAACTATGGTTGATCCAGCCTGAAGGATACCCTCAAAAAGGTCCCTCTGCCCACCTGAAAAGCCCCGCCAGTTGGCAAGAATGAAGAGTGGAAGCTCTTCTCTGTTAAAATCCATTATCGCTTGAGCTGTCTTGGTTGCAGAATCTGGAAACCATACTTGTCCAGCTTGAGGGACGACCCTCTCATGGGAATCAAGTTGTCCTGGATCAGCAGGGATAATTTGCATCACAGTCTGTGTCTCAACAGCAACTATTCCGACAGGGATTCCTCCAAGTTTTGCCCTTCCTGTCACAACCGTCCGTGCCCAACCTTCTAGTGTCTCAACAAAGCTGTCCTTGTCAAATATACCCCCCTTCCAATTCCCACTACCATCAAAGGCACCAGAAATAGCAGCACGGGGATCACATGAGTTTTCAGGAAGGTACTCCACTGGCCTTTCTGGAGGATCTGAAGGATTTGAAATGGGAAGTGTGGCTCCTACATAAGCAGGAATACAGCTTAGCCACTTCAAAATGGCTGATACCCCTTCAAGATCATCTGAGACCGTGAGATGAACAACACCATTGGTTGCCATAATTTTAGGTCCACCGAGTTGCATGTGAGAGCTATACACCTCCCGGCCAAGAAGCTTGTTCAATGCTGAGAAACCAGTTAAAATAATAGGTTGATCAATTCTCTGTATGCACCGCATGCCAAGACGTGCAAGATAAGCACCAATTCCCACAGTTCTGCCAGTTACATATGTCAGGGTAAAGGTTTCTTTGTATGCCCTAGCGTAGGCACCAGCAATGGCCCCACTTCCTGTTAAGTTCTCAACTCCTAAGCCATCCTCTTTCCCAACAATGGTATCAATCACCCATCTGCTTTCACCATTTTCCAGCTTCATTTCATGCGCTATCACAGAGGATCCAATCCTAGCATAATCCTCAGGAGTTAAATAAACATACTGAAACCCACGTTCCGGAGAGGATTCATCAGACCAGCCAACTTTAAAGCAGGCTTTGACTTCCTCAGCTACCCCAATACGGGCACCAGAGTTTGCAGCCAAATAAATTAAGGGCAGTTTCTTACTACAAGCAAGATCAGTTACTGCAAGAAAGAATGCATCCTCTTTGGGGCCAAAAGATCCAGCTTTGAAGGTCACATCATTTGCAACTATCACTATTGTCCTTCCAGAAGGAAACTCAGGAGTAGACATTTCCACACACCAGGCTACCATGCCAACATCATTGAGCCCTGGTGGGCGTTCCACAGAAACAAGAGGAGTACCCCAATCACCTTTTTGGTTGGCAAAGACGAGCTCTGTAACCTTCAAAAGAAATTTATCCTTGGGTTTTTTAGTACCTGGCAATTGGGATGCCCATGATTGCTGCAAGGCCGTCTCAAATGCCTGAAACAAAACCATTCTTGTACATTAAATTTCCAATTTATCCACATGTGAGCATGAAAATGAGGAGATGAAAAAGATGATTGTTTTTCCTAGTAAAGATGATTGACTTTCCAATTTCAAAACCACTAAAGTTGTGCATACCAATGGAAAGTCATAGCAGTAAGTGGTATTGTTTTTCCTAGCCGATAGACGTTTCCGATCAAGAACTCCCAAAGGCTGATAGTAGGCATTCACAGGCATACCATGGAGAGGACCTTTGGTAGAAATTGAGTGATAAACAAGTCTGTGTTTGCTGGCATCATCTAGCTCCCGGTATACCTGAATGTAAAATCAAATATTGTGAGCATTGCACGATCTATATTTTTGCAATTTTTGATGCCTAAGTCCTACCAAAGATGTATAGAAATGAAAACTGATTATAATGATACATCACTAGCCCCTCATATCACCAGAAGAACTTAAAAGTTACTCCTTCAAACTAAGGTTTCCTAATGAAGCATGACCAGAAAGAAATGTAGAATACTCAATTTTCTATCAGGATGATTGTAACCTAAGATAAACATTCCAGAATTTGGAAGCACTGCAAAGAGTCCAACAGTCCACTTTCAACAAATCTTTTGACCAGATAAAATAATCAAATTATAAAGAAAGTAAGGCTAACGTTTATGCTCTACTTATCTTCAACCAGCTGAAGAAGTTGCTGGTATCAATATGGGCCATTTTCTACGTTGCTTCCACAAACCATAACTGTGTCTGGAAGTAGATTATCTTTGAAAAAACTACAAGTTATATGGATACTTACATGTACAGTGCAGGTATGACCAGTCACATTTGTTACTACAACCCTCCAAGCTCCATTTGCCTGTCCAGAAGATGCCATCCAGAGCTTCACTTCCCATTCACAGACACCTAACCTATGCATTCTTACACCAGCAGTTGCATGAATATCCTGTGCCAGTTCTTCTAAGATTGCCTCTACCATGACTTCTCCTTGCCCAGCTTTGAGATCAACCCTCCTAAAGAAATATCTCAAATGTAAGAAGACAAATAAGAAGTTCACCAATCACCCCCACCCCCTTTCCCAACTGTAAAGGAAAAAGAATGTAAACATAATTACTTGGGGTAAGGCACAAGATCATCGATGTATTGCTCATGTAAGATACAAAGATACATATGAGCATGGTCAGATTTCACAGTAGCATTGTGCATGTTAAGTTCCAGTTCCTCCATTGCACCCATTAAGGACCTTAAGATGCTCCTTGAAGTAAAAGAAAGGGCCCACTGGTTATGCATTATTTCCATATCCAGCCCTTGATATCCTGTAGGCCCATCATTTGTCATGGGCTGCCTGACAAGTGTTCGGAGGAACATCCTCTGTATTGGTACTAGCTTGTCCACAACAGTGTACAAGTGCCATTGCCTGTCACGTGATGGAGTATATTTTATATTTTCATAGCCTTTAAGCTTATCCTGGATCAAAACAAAGTTAATGAGGTTCAGCAAAAGATCCACGGTGGTCACTCTTTCTATTTCCCTCTTCTGTCGCCTTCTTTTTATGTAAGTAAAACAAATGGACAAGGTGAGTAATGTAATAACAAACCAGTTCAAGGTATATGGACAGAGGAGGTTCCAAATGGCGCAAAAGAGGTTCTTCCTCATAACAGTGCTTTTCTGATGACCAGTGAAACGAGTGCCTCATAGGTGCTCGGCCTTCATCCCTCTGTATGATACAGCTGATAACCCCAACACCTGCAGAATGTAGACTTGACCCTAGTTCTCGCTCTTTCAGTATTTTTGCTAACTTATTGATTCTCTCTTGAGCCTGATCCTCATCACCACTGCAAAATGTCAAGGAGAATGCTGGTAAAAGGAGGCACAGTTGCAATATAAGATCCTAAGGTAGGAAGAAATAAAGAACATCTAGGTACAACAATTGTTGATGGGATGTCTTTTACTAGGAAGGAATAAAGAAGTACCAGCAATATATACCACGGCAATGCTATAGTTACAATGCCACGTAGGATTGTAAGTTTACAATCCTGATGTGGCATTAAATGAGTATGACATGGTATTAAACAATTGGATGCATACCATATCACAGGTGGACCCTTGAATGAAAAGAGCCTATTGTATAACAACACATCATGTTCTAAGGTTACAAT